ATTCTACAAAATATTCTACAATAAATTTATTATTCTATGTATTTAACATATCTTTTACTCTTAATTTAAATTAACAAAAATAAAAAGATGTACAAATAAACAAAAACACAAAGGTAGATAACCTGGCATGTATTTTCACTAACACATCTATCAACTATAAAATAGACTTTAGTATTAAATCTAAAATATTAATTTTATGAAATTTGAATTATTTTAGTATTTCATTGTTAATATAAAAATTAAATTTCGTTTTATATAACTATAAATTATAAAAAAGAAAAATAATAAAGGTATTAAAAGAGAATTAGAAAAATATTAGAAGGAACTCAACTAAGATTTTGAACCCTAAAATAACAGACCATGCCTTTGTCTAACGGAAGAAACAGAAGAACCAGAAAGTTGTTTAAGAGACCATTCAGAGGACATGGAATCTCAAACACCTCAACCATTCTTCACACATATAAAGTTGGTGATTATGTAACCATCCTCTGTAATTCATCTATTCAACACGGCCTTCCATACAAAGCTTTCCACGGAAAGACTGGACGTGTTTGGAATGTTAACCCACACGCTATTGGAGTCATGGTAAATAAGAAGGTTAATAACAGAATTGTAGTTAAAAGACTTCACATCAGCCCAGAACACATTAGACCATCTGGATGCCAAAAAGATTTCCTTGAAAGAAAGGCTGCTGTTGCTGCTATTAGAAAGCAAAACATTCAATTAAAGAAAGAAGGAAAAGAACTTCTTCCATTACCAGCTAAAAGACTTCCAAAACAACCAAGACCAGCCGAACTTATTAAAGGTACTGATATCAAATTTACCACTGTTGCTCCACTTAAATTTGAAGAACTTTATTAAATGACATGGTGTTTTGTGAATGGAATTTGTTTATTTGTATTTTCATTTTCTAATGTTTTTATGAATTTGAAAGACTAATTTTTTTTCATTTGATGTTATATTCCTTTTTTTTTTCCTTCATTGAATCTATCAAAAACATTTTTCATGGAAAGTAGTGATACAATTCATACTTCATGTGATGGTAAAGACTTTAATACAAAAGATTCTTCGAGTGATGAGGTTTCAATTATATCAGAAAATGAGTCTTTTTCAAGTGATAACTCACAACTAAAAGATAAAATGATTAATGACAAACAAGAAAAAGATGAAAAAGAAGGAAATGTATGTAATGAAAAGGAATCTATTCATGAAAATATAAAACAAGAAGAAAATAATAAGGAAAAAATAAACACAAAAACTCCAACACAAACACCAAGTAAAAGTTGTTCATTTGGACAAAAAGGACAAACTTCTCTAATTTCAATTAAGGAATTATCTAATTCTAAATCACCCCAACCAAAACAAGAAAAAAAATTAAATATTGAAGTAGTAGATTGTAAATCACCAACTAGTCCTATTATTTCTCCAAGACAAAAATTTACACCAAGAGCATCAATGATTCAATTAGTTAAAGGATGTCCAGAAGAACAAATTAAAATAGGGTATAATGTTAGTTTAATGAATAGGAATGATGTTATTAATTTTAAAGGACCAATGAATGGACAATTAACATTAACTAATTACAAGATAGTATTTGTAGTTAAATGTGTAATATTTAATGTTAGTATTCCATTAACAAAGATTGCATATTTTAAGAAAGTTAATTCTATGGATAAACAACATAAAAGATTA